CCATAGTCGCGCCATCGATGCCGTCGCGAGGCTTGCTGTGCGCGCGTGGCCAGGCTCGCTCTATCAGTCTCCGGTCAAGCCACCACGACCGGTAGGTTCGGGGTGAGTCGCTGTTGCCCATCCGTGAGCTTGTTCACGTTGTCTGTGCCTTGGCTCATGGGAACGTGCCCGCCGTCGTAGGGAGGAGTCCGACGCCGTGGAGGGAGCTTGGGACAGCGTCTCCGTTCACCGTCTTGCCTCCCACCGCTTCGAGTTGACGTCGAGGTGAGCAACGGCTCCTTAGATAGGGTTGTGAGGGTCTGGTGTGGCCGGCATAGCCGCCCGGTGCCACCGCCGTCGTGCCGATGCGCGCGCGGGTGCCGGGGGACTTGGCCGTGGTAAGGAAGGAAAAGGGGAGGGTTATATTCGTAAGATGACTGTCTGTAGAAATAGTACCGTGGACCTCAACGTGGTTCGTCGGTAGGTCAGGGGCGTTCGCGCAAAATGGCCATCGCGCGCAGGCCTTCCCATCGTGGGCCGGCTTCACTGGACTAGGCCGTTCCTCTGCGTGGGCCACGCCGGTGGTGCGCGCGTCGCGCGGTTGTGGGCCGCGCTGCGGTTAGTGGGCCGCGGTCTGAAGTTTGGTTTTCTATTTTCCAGCGCATTAATAAATGCTTATTCAATTTAGTTTTGAGCTGAACTTTGATAAATTATAGTAAATCTTGTAGATGTCCAAAAATAGTGAAACCAAGTTTGTTAGGTTCATAAAAATACCATCTATCTATTAGAGTAGTTAGATTACAATTAGCTATGATAGTGATGGGTTCATAAATCCAAACTAGAGAGCTTAGTATTATGTAGATTAATATTTATAGAAATTTTTGTGGTAAATTGGTGATAGCTATAGCTATGAAATTTTTACAGTAGGCTCATTAGATTATTATGTACTTGCTATAAATTTTGTAGCCCTAGAGTAGGTTGATAAACAGAGTAGCTATTATCCTTGTTTTATCATATATAGAATAAATCGGTATTAGGAGTAAGAATACATTTAGTTGCTATGATAATATATGTCATGCTTCATACTTGTTAGTGGTAACAGTAGGTAACTTAGTACCTTAGCCGGTAGGACTAGCTTAGTAACTTGATAAGATATAGTTTATTTTAAGAGCTGCTGTTGCCATATTATTAAGTGTTGCGTCATTATTTCATGCATGTAGATCACGAGTTGGTAGAGTTCGTGCCCGTGGACGAACAGGATTATGAAGAGATCATTGAGGAGTATGAGGAGGAGATCCTCGTGCAGGAGGGAGCCCTAGAGCCTTTTGGTGCTGACTTTGCTGACCTGTCGCCTGCCCAAGGCAAGCCCCGGTGCATAACCTCTATTTTTAATGATCACTGAATATATATGATGTGCATTTATGTTACATGTATTTTATGGAAACTATATGCATAAATATATCTACCTATGAGTCCTACTAGTACAGGTCGAGTAGCTGCTATGCTCAGAATTTTGGTAGCGTGAGTAACCTGCCATTACTCACAATAGGTGATAATTATGATCACTCATGATGAAATGGTGTAAAGGAAAATGGTGACCGGATAGAGATATGGTTTGGGTACTGGTGGGTGTAAGGGGTTGTGTCATGCGGCCAACAGGGCATAACTCGGTTACACTTTTTTCCTGTCTGTGTCGGTTAAGGACCGGTCGTTGAAATGGATGCTAGGCAAGTCACAGATCTTTTATCCTGAGCACATACTTGGGTATGGGCGCAGTGAAAGCTCGTTGCTCTCTTGTCGTGGATCCGGCTCTTTTCGGACCGACTGATTGAAGACGGGGATGGTGGAGATCCTTGCACCGCACTGAGTTCGGGACTCAGCAGTGGGGGCTTGGAGTCCAAGTTTGGACGGGGACCTGGACACCCAGGACAGGAGGGTGATGGGTTAGTCCTACTTGTGCCTGGGGTACAAGCGGGGCGTGTGTTTTTGGGGTACCCAGCTAGGGACATTGATTCGTGAATCACCATTTAAGTCGGTACGACTTGTCTTAACTCTAGCATCGTAGTAAGAACTAAAAGATGGAAGGTGATGAAATAGAACTGATTGCTCAACTCTTACTTAAAAGTAGAACAGGTGCTTACATAGAATGGATAGATAATAAATTAATATGGCTATTAATAATATCATAAGTAAGGACCAACTAATAGTATTGCTTTCTGCCAAAAAGGAAACTAGCAAACCATAAAGCTTATCATATTTCTTGGAGTCGGGAAATTATTCCCACTAGTCGGATAAGTCTTGCGAGTACATTGTGTACTCAGTGTTTATATACCCCTGTTGTAGGTAACACTTGAGGAGTACCTTTGTGTGGAGGATTCTTCTGGTGGGCACAGACGGATCATCGTTCTTTATCGCTAGATGTTTATCTTAATTCCGCTGTTTAATATTCCACACTCTGACTTTGAAAATGTAATAATGTACTTTTTTACGAACTCTGGATGTATGAAATAGATTAAGTATTGTAACTCGTTCTTATTATTGGATCCTTGGGGAAAATGTGGATCTTTTGAGTTCTCCCTTTGAGTGTACCCGACGGATACTGTCCATTATAGCTTGCTTTCGGGGTGTTTAGTGTCTGGTGGAAGACGAGCGCCTCCGTAAGTGTGCTATTTCGGACGGTTCTGCCACAAACGCCCAGCCCCGACCTCGTTCCACCTCGATGCAGCCAAGGGCGCTCGACGGCGGCGCTCCAATCCAAGGCGGTGCCGGTCGGCGCGGTGCCGCAACGGCTCACTCTTCTGATCCCGCACGCTCCCAGCTCCCCCTCCTGGTCCCGCGCGCTCCCTGCTCTCTGCAGACGGTAGCAGGCTAGCAGCAGCCGTGGCTGCGCCCAGCGTCCAGCACGTGGTGCCGCGTTGCGCCTAGAGCCTGGGGGCTACGGCCTGCTCCTAGCGCTGGCCTGGGCGTCACGGACATGTTCTACGCGACGGCTAGGGGCAGGAGCGCGGACGTGTTCAGGCTGCTGCTCGACCACGCCATGTCGCCAAGGTGCTCGATGAATTGCCGGAACGACAAAGGCAGTGCTGGGTGCTGCAGGTGAGGCATCTAGCTTGCTATTGCTTGCTCCACATCTGCTGAAATGCTCTCTTAACCGTTCTTGCTGTAAGCCTGCATCCTTACGTGAATGGTTATTATCAGTCATATGTATGTGGATCAAAGAGACTCTTCTTTAGAATAATGTTTGAATGCTTTTCGGATTCTGATTTGCTTTTAGTTCTTCATGTTGAATGCTCAGTTTAGCAAGGATCTGCGTACGGACTACAGAGGATGCATTTCATTAAAACATTAGTTGGTTTGCTTTAGAACAAACTACTATGTGCTTGTATTTTCCTCAGCTAGGTTGATATTAGAAAAGAAATTGTTCATCTAGAAATGCTAAGCGTCACCTAAAACACTTTGTTACTTCAGCAATTCCGTAAAGATTTTTTTTAATGGACAGACACAATTCTACTAATAAAGGAGCAACTAGTAGGTTAATGTGACAGTAATATAACTTTGCTACTTCACCCAATAAGTTTTATAGTTTAATGTGACAGTAATATAACTTCTAGATGGAGAATGTTCCTATATACTGTTGGCCAGCCTTTTTTATTTCATTTATGATACTGAGCATAGTTATCAACCCATACAGTTCATGATCATAAAGTGTAGGAAGTCTAGTTTGACATAAAAGGTAGCTTTCTTTCCGATCAATATGTCCCTTTCCAATAATTTGAGAACAGAGTGAATATACTTCCTGTTATTCCAATTTAGCTCGAAAACTTCACCAGAAAACTCTAGTTTTTATATCCACAAACTTCTTGGTGATGCTATGCGTACCAAACTTTCTATCCACATCCTGTTGTTGATATGCGCACAACTTTGTTAGTGTTTCTTGATGTGTAGGTTCAGACTCTAATTTTGTTATCTATTGATATTAGATTCATCACGGACATTATTTCCTCGGAAGGTTTAAGAGCTGAATTTAAATGTATATCAGCTTCCGCCTTGCATTACTTGCACATCATTTAGTGACTTAAGTCCTAATATCTAATGTCGGACATGTAACCATGATACACTTGTAATATATTTCCTGCACCACGACTTTTGGGATTAATCTATAGATGCTCATCCCCGCTATGGTGTGGGAAAAAACACGCCTAAAAGTTTACTTGAATGTATATGTACTATTATACTTGCTTCTTACTACAATAGTTACAACCATTTTGTGTTTAACGAGACAGCCCAAATTGTGAAGATATAATTCGTGATTATTTATGGCATGTGTACAAAGAATGGATTATCTCTTGAAGAAGCATCAAGAATATCAGATGCATTTTCGAACCGATAAGTGTATATATTCCTTTTGGGCATTCACAGTTATTTAAAAACTTGTTACTTTTCACTAGGCCATTGAGAATATGCTCATCATGTCGTAATTATGCTGATTTCCAAAGTATCATATACTGAGCATTACTGATGACACATTGTAAATATCAGTCTTGCTAAACAATCAATTGTTTCATTGTCGGTTCTTGTAAATATCACCAAGCATTGAGTTTATCTCGGTGTCTTGCTAAACAATCAATTGTTTCATTGTCGGTTCTGGTTGAAGATCATTACACTGAGTGAGGACAACATGATTCTTGATGAGAAGAACAAAAGGTCGTTGTGTTTACTGGAGGAAGAGTGACGACGCCTCTATGAAAGAAAGAAATCTTCCTGTACATCCACCACGTAAATTGGTAAACTTTGTTGTGTGCTAAGATGAATGATTTTGTTGCAAATATATGCAAGTAGTCTAGCTTGAAGGATGGCAGCTTAGATGGACTCTTGATTCTGATACTGCAGATTAGCCATTTCATTTGAAAACACTGAACAGACATGGTTATCTTATATAATGCTGCTCTATTTTTTTAAGAAAAAAATACTGGTGGGCCCTTGCTCTATTTTATGCCATTCAAAATCTACCGCTGCCGTGCATGGGCTCCAATGCCAGAGCAGCGGACGGTAACACACAACACAAGGAGCTTGCGATCGAGCTGCGTTGCGAGGGCAGAGAAAGAGACGGGCAGTGCAGTGATGAAGATAAGGACCTGCCCTTTGGAAGCACACACACACAAACCAACACTGACATCACAGGGGGGTCAGGGGAGGAGAGGGAGAGGGAGAGCCTTCTTTAAGATCACACCACAACCTCCCCTCCCCCCTCCTCCTCATTGCCCTCTCTCTCTCCCTCTCCATTGTGTCACTCACTCTATACTAGGTCCTAGGTAACTAGCAGTTGAGCTCTTAAATTCTTGCTTGAGGTGCAGTAGCAAGACACACTACTACAAACAGGCTGATCAGCTGATGCCCGGTGGCTTCAGGATCTTGCCAAGGTTTGCGAGGTCCCATTTTGCTTCTCCCCTGGGCTTGCAGTTGCGTTTGAGTGCACCTCTGAGGCTTTGATTGGCCCTCGCGCTCCGTACTTAAGCTCTCCGCCTCGTCCATGGCGTTGCAGCTCTCATGACTTGCTGTCTCCTGCTAGCCGCTGCTTCTACTCCACCTAGCTGAAAGGTAGAACCGAGATCAGTCTGGGAATTCGTTAAAGATCACTTCTTCCTCTGCAACCCGATCACTTCAGTTCTTGGAACGAACATCGCGAATTGACGCTTCTTTTGTGCCACCTCCTGTCTGTCCGTGCAGAGTGTAGTTGGTCCTGAATTCTTGGTCCGGTGCTGTTGGAAATGTTCTTGAGGTCGAAGATCCAGGAGGTGATCCTGCGGAGGAGATCGAGGTCAATGAACAGCGCCGGCGCGCAGAGGAGCCACGTCCCCGATCAGGCCGCGAGCTCGTCGACCGTTCCATCCGACGGCGACGGCGGCGGGGCCGGGGCAGACGCCGCCGGCAGCAAGAGTGCCGCTGCACGTGCCCTGTTCGCCTCCCCGAGGCTGCTGCACTCTTCCTCCCTGCCCGCCGGCACCTTCGCCTTCGTCAAGAGCCCCCGCGCGGGATGCCGAGTCCGAGACGTCCTTCTCCATGAGCCCGACGTCCGTGCTCGACGCGGCGGCGGCCTTCGCGCCAGGTCCGGACGGCGTCGGCAAGCGCCGCCGGCCGTGGCGGGCGCGGGACAACAACGGCCTCGCGGACGCGCTGGACTGCAGCGACCACCACCACCAGCAGCAGCAGGAGCGGATCGTGCTCGCGGCGACGTCGTCGTCCTCGCTGGTCAGGTCGTGCTCCCTGGACCGCCGCGTCGAGTTCGGCGTCAAGAACAAGAGCTCGTGGCTGCCCCTCAGCACCTGCAGCGGCCGCGAGGCTACGTCGCCGGCGCCGGCCGATCCGCGGGAGATAATAGAAACGTCGTCGGAGGACTACACGTGCGTCATCTCCGCGGGCCCAACCCGAGGACGGTGCACATCTTCGGCGACCGCGTCGTGGAGGGCGGCGCCAGCGCCGGCGCCGCATCGGAGAGGGAGAGCTCGCCGCGGCCGATCAATCTGCCGCCGCGCGGCGACCGGGGATTCTTCAGCCTCTGAATGGTCCATCCATTCGCGCGTAGCCTGATGCCTAGCAGGTAAAGAAACGGAGTTTGCTGAGTGCTATTATTGTTGCTGTATTGTACTGGTTGCTCCATTTCCATCTGATCAGACGATCATAGATGTTTTCTTGATCAGATGATGTACTAGACGTTTTGTCCAGGATGAGCTGAAGCTGTGATATAAATTTCATTATGTTGTTATTACTAGAAAAAAAAACTGCAAATTTAGCTCCCAGTGGCTGAACTACTCTGTGATAAATTTTGTCTCCAAACTCGTTTCTGCAACCATCAGAATGTCAGATCAACCCTGACTAACATAGCTTCAGAGCACTACGAGTTCTGACAGTAGCTCAGAACATCTCATCTCCCCAATCCTGACAAGAACTCAGACCATTTCCCAACGAATCCAGCATTAAACCATACCGATCTTTAAGAGCATGCTATTGCTGCATGCCCTGGGTGAGGCGAGTCCCCAATCATTGGTGGGTTTCTTGCGGCATGAACCCATGGAAAAGAGCTCAATGATTGATGTCTCTTGTGGCGAGCCCTGCCTGCCCTGCTGCCCTGCTCACCCAGACCAGACGATCGGGCGGGCGGGGCTGTGGGGCGGATGCGCCCAGCGCCCACTTGAGCGGTGCCTCGTCGCCGTCAGGGGCCCCGCCCCGGGTTCACTGGTCTCTCTGCCCCGTGGGGCCTGATTCCTTCTCCGCTCGGCCATTTGTGGTCTCATCTGATCTCATCCCCGAGAGTGTTTCGGTTTCTCTGTCAAGCTTCCTTTCCGTGACGCCGACTGGTTTGAAACTGACGCCCATTTTCTTCCTTACTTTTTAGTGACTGTTACGCATCACGCTGTCAGCTCCACAGCTGATGATGGCCTGGTGTGACGGGCATTGCCTGAGCATTGAAATCTCTCTCTTTCCTTGCAGGCCATCATATTCATGATGATGAGTTTGAGCACCAGGCCATTTTTTTGTGATGAGTTTTAGCTTCAGTTGTGCTCATAATTCTTGTAAAATAAAAAGGGTGGTTTGGCTAGCTTTCAAGGGTTGGTGACACGGCGGTGCAATTGTTTTTTTCTTCTTTCCTTTTGGTCTTTCTAAGGATATAATCAAGTTGTGGCAACAACAGCCCTCACTGATTCACAAATACATGTCATTATCATGCAGCTCTTCTTTACTTGCTCTTCTGAACCTTTTTGTCCTGTTGTAAAATTGGAGTTTGGAACATAGCTCATGTTCTCCGAAATTAATTTTGTGCACCTAGAACGAGTACCGACATATCTGGCTGTGCACGTCCCGTGCATGAACTCAACAGCACATGATGTACACATTTTGACCTGCTTCATGGCCTCCTGCCTTCCTGTCTCCACAACTCATCCTCTATTGAAGTCAGTTGAAACGAACAAGTACAGTACAGGGTGGCTTAATTGATCTCTCTCCTGAATCAAAGTGCCTACAGACAAAGCTTCTCTGTATAAAGCTTCAAGTAAACTATAAACCTGACTTTCAACCCCACTCCTCACACAGACTGACCAAAAAGAAAAAAGAAGACGAAGAAGCGCAAGTGCATAATTTTATGCAGATATGCCATTAGCACCCTGACGTAATTATACAAAGATAGGACCACTATCAGGTTTCACTATATAGAATGCCACACAAGTAAGCCCAGAATATCTCAACTGAATAAATTAATTGGAGTAAAATTAACACACACATTCAAATTAGAAGTGCTATGGAGAAACTATTCCTATGTCAATGTCATATACTGGACTATGTTTGCTGAGCTGACTGGCGTTTCAAAAGTTCACCCTTAAAATAGCACCAAACTGGATCATCAATATCAAGAAATTTCAGCCATCAAAACCTCGCAAACCATTACACAGACGGCGAACTGAAGTAGTCATCACTACGATGAACAATCACTTTTGGTATTTACAACGTTCAGAAACCAGTTAATCCATTCACATGAAAACTAGTGTCATCAAGAATTAAAGAGAGCAAATATTAGCATACTGATGAAGTGAATCCCTCCAGTGTCCAGATCTTGGACTGGATGCCTTTATGAAATTGTACATCTCTCAAGACCAGAGATAAATATGATTCCTGTCCGAGGTAGCAAGAGGTCCTAGTCCGCACCATGCACTTGCGAGAACAGGTGAAGAATGACCCTCTAGGACGGTCGGTGTTCCATTCTTCAGTCTAGACCATATGTAAACAGATCCATCAGAAGAACCAGCAGCAATGCAATTTTCATCAGGGCTAATACAAGGTTTGCCCCAGCTGCCCACCGCTCTGTTACCCATGGCCCTGAATGTTCCACAAATCTCCAATGTTCTAACATCAAAAGGTTGTGCACATTATCTCTCCCACTTGTAAGAATAAAATTTTTGCTCCGTGACACACAGACCGAGGTGACATCAAGATGAGCAGCTATCTGTGTAGTGCATTTCCCACTACGGATATCCCATAGCCGAAGATTTCCATCCCTATGGCCCGAACAAATGATGTCACCATCAATGAAAGCTAGTGAGTTGGGGTTGCTTGCAGACATTATGGTGCTTTTGCAGAAACCTGTCTGTAGATCCCAAGTCTTGATAGTACGATCATTGGATGAACTAGCAACAACAAAGCTCTTCACCCAGCTTGCATCAACAGATGAAACATTTTTGGTGTGACCAGTCAGAGTGTGACGAGGACGTCCCCCATTGACTTCCCACACAAATAGCTTATTGGAGCTACAGGCAGCGATCACAAACTTGTTATCATTGGTCACGGCAAGATCATTAACAGACCCAGCAACCATGTAGGGTGGAGGTCAAGGCACCAGTAGATGCACTCCATATCTTAACAGCTTGATCCTGCCCCCCACTAATTAGCTTGTCTGAGTTATGCTCAAACATCAAGGATCCACACCCACCATCATGAGCACGAATAGTTATTGTGCATGTTGACGGGATTGATGTTTCCATGTAACCAGCTTCAGAACGCCGTATGATGCCATCAGCTTCTTGCTGTGCATTAAGTTGTATACCACCAACTCCAGCTGTCTTTAGCTTTAGAACCATCTCCTCATACATCGCATTGGCCTAGACAATTATTTTACAACCATTAAAACAGTAACTTATACATGCAAGTGTTATGGGTACAGTTTTTAGCTAAATATGGGGCAGATATTTCAAGACTGGTGTAAGAAGGTCACTTACAAGGATACACTTCGGCAGTCAATGCAAACCATAGAACTAAACTAACGAAATTCTACCAAGAGAAATATTGTACTGTTGCTTGCACCATTATGGTATTATAAGCATCCTTGTTTTGATGTATCTCCAATTCTTCATCGGTTATTACAGGATCATTGCAACTATGAAAAAGGAATATACATTGCTAATACAACAACAACAACAACAACAAAGCCTTTAAGTCCCAAACAAGTTGGGGTAGGCTAGAGTTGAAACCCAGCATAAGCAATCAAGGTTCAGGCACGTGAATAGCTGAATATACGTTACTAATAGGTAAATTTAATTTTTCTATCATGCTCAGTAGGCAAGCCACAAGCATATTGCTTGGACAATCCCCTATTTCAGATATCGCATATTGCAAATGTGCATTTTAAGCAACAGAAGGAAAATAAGGTACCTCGTTGAGCCTCTCTGCGTCTTTCATCTTCTCTAGCATCCATCGATCAATCAAACTTTGGTTCTCATCCTCTGCAGCTTTTAGTTTCGCCAATGCTTGTTCAAGTTCGGCTTTCACTGTCTGATGCTCTTGAATGAGAAGATCTAAGGCTTTTGTTTTTTCATCAAGTGACTGCTTTAGTTGTACATTCTCTTCGCTGTAAAAGTTTTGCACAAGTGCTAAGTACCATGTTCTCCACAACTGTGAACAAGATTAGCAAAAATAAATCACATTTAATACCTCGTCTTCTCAAGTTCAGCCTGCAAACTTGTAACCATCGCTTCCTTCTCTTTGAGCAGTGCTTTTGATGCTTTACCTTCTTCTATCTCGATTACAAGCTGCTCAGAGAGCCGGGATTGTGCCTTGTAGCAGTGCTGCAGCTCCAACTCATGCTTCTCAGCCCTCTCTTTCCACTCCAAAGCCTACAAGGAGTTAACAAAACAGCCTCTCCTTCACTAAACACCCAAGTTATAGTCCAAAATTCTCGAAAAAAAAACTGGGATGTCCCGGTGATACAAACAATTGAATTCAGTAGGCTCAAGTAATATGATCAGTAACACACATTCGTTTGCAGACTTCAAAGTACGATAAAAAAAGGGAAGGAGTAAACTGTAAGATTGGGAAAAGTAGGGAGAGGAGAATAGGAGATTGGCCTCACGTGGGCGGCGAAGGGACGGGTTAGCGCCTCGATGGCCGGGCTGTGCGCCCCTTCCTCGGCGAGGTGCCTCCGTTTCAGCGACCGCAGGGCGCGCCGGATCGCCGCCCTACCAGCCTCGGCCTCGGCCATCGTCCTGCACACACCCGGCAACAACAGCAAAGTCCCCCCTCGTGTCAGGCAAGCAGCAAAGAAGAAATAAACTGGTTTAGCTGCCGAGTTGAAGGATTCCTCACATTCTCCCGTGGATTTCGGCAGCAGCAGGGGAGAAGGAGGCCGTGCGTCCGGTGGCTTCAGTTCTCGGCCAGGGCGGCTCGGTTCCGCTCTTCGTCGAAGACTAGCCGAAACTAGAAGAAAGAGGAAGACGAAGAAGAGAAGGCGGCGTCCGGGCCCGCAAGTGGACTCGGACTCGTGCTGGATAGCGTGGGCCAGCACATGGGCCTTTGGCCCAAGCCCAATAAGTGAACTGGTCCGATGAGCGAAAGGGATATTCCGGGCTTGGGGGCCACGCATGGTTTTCTTCTCCGCTTCCTCCGATGCCTCCCTTCTCGGCGAAAGCATCGGCCGCCGCCTCCTCCACACCCACCCCACGGGCGCATTGGTTGGCTGTTTCCCTCTCCCCGGACCCCTGCCGTCCTGCGCGAACAAGGTTGCCCGGGCACCTCGCTG